AAGGAGGGGGCTTTGTAGAAAACGAAGCGTTTGAGAGAGGCGGGGCATAGAGGACCTACAATAATGTACAGTATTTGAAAAATAATGTGTTTTTTGAACATTAAAGCATGTCAACATATTCTGTTACACCAAATACACAAAATAATGATCTTTAAAAAAGCATCATATGACCCCTTTAATGAAAAGCTGTTCAGGTTGTAGTCCTAAAACTGTGGCAAAGAACTAGCATTGTTAAGCCATGGATTCCTTTAGGAATTTCTAAAAAGAAATGTAAATATAAAAAATAAAAATACTATTATTTATATGCAATTTTGAAATAAAATTTGAAATAAAATAAAAATAAAAACAAATTTATTGCAGTTTAATGATCAGCGTTATAAGTCAACTAAAACCATAAAAAAATGTAATTACTTTAAATAAAAAATAAACATTTACTTAAAATTTCAAAAAAATACTTACATTTACTTAAATAAAAAAAAAACACTTTAAAAAATATTTTATTTCAGCTAGTTGCACCATTTCTCATTTTAATTTAGTTGAATACTAATACTTCAGCTTAGAACTTGATGTACTAAAATAAATAAAACCTAAAAAAAAAACACAACAAAATTACTAAAACTTAATAAAATATAATAATTCATGTAAAAAAATATAAAATTAATGAAAAATATTTTTATTTATTTTCATCAAAACAAGGTAGAAATTGTTCAGTGACAAAAGCACTTCCAAAGACATTCATTTTTCTCATTGTATAACTATTAATTCCTATCCCAAAACAATTCAAATGCCGAAGATTAAGAATATAATTAAATAAATAAAAAGAATCAATAATGATGATACACAAATATAAAATGATTCACGCAAAAATAACAAAATGTAAATTAAAATGAAATAAATAAATACATAAATAAATAAATAAAGGGATTACTTCAAAGACATTAATTCAAAATATTAATAAAAACTAAAATAGTACCTTAAAGCTACTAAAATACCATTGATAATGATAGGTGACCAATTTTTCAGGAAATTAAC